TTCCTATACTCCTTATTAATTTAATGAATTACCTCCTGTAACAATGGCAGTGTCTAATACGTTGTCGATTTGTGATACAGTTCGTACGTGGAAGTACTGTCAACATACGACTTGTCAACTTATGTCAGGGTGTCGGGCGTAGTGGCAGTGCCCCTCAGATCTTTGTGATTTAAAGCACAGAGTGGTACTGCAACTGTTATGGACAGGTGTTGCTTACAACCAGCCACACGACGTGTTCGGCCATCACTTGATATCATAAAAAAAATCAGAGGAAATTGTCACAATTGTTATTTAAGTGGTTCCTTTTAATTAATTCCTGACGTAAGAAGATGGGAGTTACGAGTTTGAAGTCTTTATCTGTCTGTGGCATTCTTGCTCCCAAATATAATTTTATAATACTACATCGCACATCTTTGAAGAAATTTAAACAAAAAGTAAATGTTGTTTGCCTACAACGTTTTTTATTTTTTAATTAATTTACAATATCGTGTATTACCATTGCCTCCTGGTATATCCGGCTTGTCCTGGTCAGATTTACACTGGCTGGGTGTGGTGCCAATGAACAATGAGTATCGTGTATTGCAATCGATAACAGGTAATTTAAATGTAAAATAACAGAATACAAACCATTTATTACATAACGCCACAACACAAGAATACACAGTAAGAAATAAAAATAAATTAAGTTAAATAAAAAAAGTAAAATGAATTATGAGGATGGCTCTGCTAAATAGCAACTGGCCACCTTGGATTCAATAGACAAGCGTGTTAAGTCGCTTATAGGTGACTCGGAATTAGTAGAGGCAGAGAGCAGAGCCTTGAACACCGCCGTAGAGTTGGCAGCTTATCGGTATTCTACAGGATAGAACTGCATAATTTGATCCCGCCTTCCCCTTCCCATCATGGAGGACTGGACATGGGGTTGCGTTCCATCCCTGTGTTGTGGATATTCCCCGGATTCGCACTAAGCATTTCGCTTCCACATTTGTATGGCGAGCGGCTAAGAGTGGAATTCCCTGCCTGCAGACTTGTTCCCCGAACGCTATAACTTGGATCTTTTCAAGGCGAGAGTGAATAGGCGTTATTTAGGTGTGCAACAACATCGACCTCATCGTCACTTTCCATCAGGTTAGATGGAGGTCAAATGCACACTTATTTAAAAAAAAAAAAACCTTAGTAATAGGTAATAAAATGACCACAAAGATAGTCAACACTATTGTGTACCAAGTAGATGTCATGTGTGCGGCTGTGCCGTATGTAAAGGATACACTCAGCGAATGTCACCGCCGGGTATATACAATAACAATTTTTGTTTTAGTATTGATTAAGGGTGAAATTATAATTTAAAGAATAAAATATTTTACTTTTGATTCGCAATTACGTCTATAGGTTCATTATATAACCCGAAGGTTACCTGGAAGATGTTGCTATCTAGCAATAAGGCAAACGACACTGATTCGTGTCCTTTCGGATCGGGGGAATTTTTGTTCGTGTTTGTTGGACTTTTGTATCAATAACAAGAACTTTTCCAAATTGAATCCTTTACTTAACGCAAAAAAACTCCGGCGCTACAGGGTTGCCCGCTCGCCTCTCACTCGATTGTGTCCATTCCACCATCTTAGCTAAGCGTGCTCGCACGTGTTACTTTTTAATGTCCCTAACCGAAATTAGAATACACACTGCAACGTTTTTCATGTCATTTTATTTGCTGAATCCGTAGTAAAAAAGTATTAACACAAGGTGTTCTGCGTAACGACCCGTAGCGAATACTGTTCTGAAACTTATAGTTTTTTTTATTAAAAATCAGTGCGCATTTGACCTCCATTTCATCTGATGGAAAGTGGCGATGAGGTCGACGATGAGCATGCACACCTAAATAAAGCCTATTCACTCTCGCCTTAAAAAGTCCCGAGTCACATATACCATTCAAAGAACAAGTCTGCAGGCAGGGAATTCGTCTCCATAGCCGTTCGCCATATAAATGTGAAAGCGAAACGCTTCATGAGAATCCTGGTAATATCCACAACATAGGAGTAGAACCCCAGTCCACGTCTAGTCCCCCGACGATGAAAAGGGGAAGGCGGTATTAAATTATGTAGTTCCATCGCACACTCTCCGTGCTATATCCTATAGAAATCAATAAGCACGCAACTCTACGGCGGTGTTCAAGGCTCTGCAGTTTCGCCTCTACTAATTCCGATTCATCTATAAGCCTCTTGGCACGCTTGTCTATTGAACCCAAGGTGGCCAGTTGGCATTTAGCACAGCCGTCCCATAAGTGGCAGCAATACTCCATACACGACCGAACTTGTGTTTCGTACAGCTGAAGCAACTGTCCCGTTGTGTAGTAACGCCTCACCTTGGAAAGGATGCCAAGCTTCCTGGCTGCACTTTTGGCCATGGATTCAATGTATCTACCAAAGTTCATAGTACAAGGAATTCCCTAGTTTGGGAACACGTCATTGATGCGATTGTCGGGTATATTATAATTATTTTTATTAACTATGTTTAATTTGTTCCAGAAATCATCACTTCCACCTTCACCAACATCTCTTCCCTATCAGCCGCCATGGCCTATCTTGGTGGCAATGCCTGCATATCCATTTCCTCCTACACGATCAAATAACGAACTTATACCTTACAACAGTACTAAAGTGAATAACCATAACAACAATACAAATAAGAGTGCCAGTGATGTGGGAAACAACTTTGAACGTCACTTCGTTACAACTGCCAAACTTAAGGAAGAAATAATTACTAAAAAGGAAGATATTCCAAGTGATGTAGACGATAATTACAAATTGACAAATTATACAACTGATGGATACGATATTAAAGTAAATAATTCAACGATTAATCTTACAACTGGTATATCGAATCCAAGTGATATATTAACAAAACCTACTGCAGTAGACAATGTTTCTTCAATTGATACAACTAATAAAGATCATACAGAAGTAACAGATAAAATGAATGGTAATGATTTCAAAACTAATAAACCTAAGACAGAAGAAGATGCACCTAAAACGAATAATACATTTGAAATTGGCAATGTAAAAGAGAAAAGGTTGCCAATGTCAACTACTGGAATTAAGGTAAACGACAAAGCTACTAAGTATTTTAACAATATTTTTCGCGGAATTTCACATTCCACAGAAAAGAATCATACAACGAGAACTATGGATGATGACAAATATTCTATTGTAAACCAGCAAATCATACGGCCTATACTCGGTAAAGTAAACGATATTGGAAATGTATTACAACAGATAAAGTCTACAGCTGCACAATTACGATTAATATCTAAATCATTGGAAAGTGACCCTGCAGCTTTAAAGAAACATAAAGAAAATATAAATATAGTGCTACATCCAAAAGAAAGCATTGTTAGTAAAAATGATACTCGAGAAGAAATTGTAGATATTTACGAGAAAATATCATCTGTAAATACAGATGAACATGTTATTAAAAAAGTTAATTACAGTAATTTGGAACTAAACGATACTCATTTACTACCAATTCTATTTCCGACTTCTGAACTGGATAGTCAAAAATTAAGTTTTAATAATGGAAATAATAATAAAAAAGACAAACCTGCGAGTAATATTAAAGACGTTTCCGCAAAAAATATTAAACAAACTACGAATAATTTTCTGCACGCCGATATTAAATCAGTAGAAACAGGAAGGAATTTAAAAGAACACACACTTACACACGATGTTCAACGAAAGATTACAGAAGCAACAACGTTAAAAAGAAAAGGTGTACCAAGAAGAAAGAAGAATAAAAAAACATTACCGGAGGTGACATTTTCAAGTTTTATTCCTATCTTTAAACCAAAGAAAAGACAAAATCAAAACAAGAAAGATGTTACTGAACGCCTTTCTGTATCTAATGACGACGTTAATATTGACGTAAAAGTTTCTGATATTCCAAACCTTGAATCACCACAAAATATACAAAATGTTAACAAGGAAAATGTACAAAAACAAGATTTTAACACTAAACAGTACGTAATACCAAATTCAGAAATGTCAAGAAGCGGTTTAATAAACAACAATGCATTAAATACTCCACAACCCCAAAATAAAAATATAGAATTTAAAAATCAGGCTGTAAATAGTTTTGACGGTAAAAAGCTTGTGATATATAAACCAGAAAAAGTGTCAATGTGTAATGTGTATGGAGATTTCTTGGAAAAACTTACCATGACAGTTTTGGTGCCTCATCATGTTTATAAATTGACCAATTCTTGAATGTTACTTCGTTTTGTTCATATAGTTTTTTAATTAACTTAATAATTTATTATATACTTTTAAGGTTTGTTTTTTATTTTTCCTTTTTTGTTTATACTAAATAAATATCTAAATATTTTGAAGGTATTGAGTCCACAATTACTCAAAACAATATTATTCATAGTATTTTTTCCCAGTGACGATACACACCAATATGTTTATTCTTATACTTAATTGAATTTTGCTTCTGTGGGCCGCAACTAAAGTTAAACATCAGACAAGCGCTTGTTCAGGGTTACGCTATAAGTGTCTACCGCTGAGTGTATCGCCGACCGTACAAGTTTTTCATTTACATTACAATCCTTGTACAACCCCAGCACTCGGTTCCGCATAACTACACACGGCGGGCAACGTTATTTTTATCTCTCTGAGCGCATGCTTATGTTCCTCGTAGTGACGCCTGGTTCCATTAGTCAGATTTAGAAGGCTATTATAGCGTAGGTATATATATATATATATATATATATATATAGGTATAGATTTTGTATGAGAGTGATGTATCTGTTGCATTTAAATAACCATTAAATAATCTGTGACAAAATAATTGAATGAAAATTGTTTATGTAAGTGATAATTTTCGATGGTAAATATGTGGCTAAGTTTAGCAGCTGTGTCATAGGTGCACATTTCTTTTTCAAAAATGCTGCACCTTACGTTAAGTTTAGGGTTACTTTACGTTTTATTTCTTGTCATTTGTCTTGTGTGCAGACCGAATTTATATAATCATTACAAATGATGCACCCTTTTCCGAACTAATATTATGGCATAAAACATCATCAATATAAATTATGTGTTAACTTTATTATAAAACTAAATTGTCATAACACTTAAAATTACCAATAAATATCATTGCATCCTGTACCAATACCCATTTCACCTTTAGAAACAGGGACAAAAGCTGCGCCAGTTTCTAAAAATGGACCAGCTGCAAAACCAGCACCAGGTAATCCAGCTTGACCGACTCCGTAAGGAACTCCACCTTCACTTATAATACCAACATTGCCATTACCACAGCTGTAGGTAGTTGCAGCAGAACCCGTGGTTGGTACAGAACCTTCCACAGCAACTGCAGCGAGGACTGGGAGTTGACCTGTTACGGCTATATCTCCATTAATAGAGTTTTCAGAAAAGACTTGAAGACCATTTGGTACGATAGGGGAGGAGCTGATCACTGCTAAACCTCCTCCACTGGTTGGTAGTGAAATGGGAGTGAATGATGCAGAGCTTCGTCCGCAGCTTCCAACACCATGGGGCGGACCAGACCAACCGATGTTATTATAATCGGCACCGCTGCATTGGGATGAGACTGACTGTAAAAGATAACAAATTGGTTATTGGACGGTAAGCTTAATAGTCAAAATTAAGATGGTGAAGTCATTGATTAATAATATATTAATGATAAAGTGACGATGAGATCGACGATGGAGCTTGCACACCTAAACAATAACTATTCAATCTCGCCTTGAAAAAGCCCAAATTATGTATATAAAAATAATGGAAAAAAGTACTAATATCGATTATACCTGAACAAAAAGAGCCGAAGCGCAAAAAACAAGGAACCTATTGGCTGCCATTTTAGGTGTTCTATAAACTCAATGAGTATATTATCTGGAAATAATATCGTGATATCGGACTAGCGTATTTATACTAAAAATCGAAATTTATGTTACATAATTTAATCAAAATGTGTTATTTACGAAATTTTAAGCAATGAAGTTCAATAAGCCACTGCGAAACTGCTTAACGTTTGTAGATAAGCCTTTTGTAATGAGTGTAATTTAAAAACAGATAAGAAATTTCGCAGTATTAATTCTTAAGGTAATGCGAAAACTGGGGAGTCACCCCTAAATTGTGATTATATGGCGAACGGTATGGAGTAAAATTACCTGCCTGCAAATTTGTTTCATGAACTAGTGTAACTCGGGCCTTTTCAAAACGAGACTGAATAGCGTTGACTTACAAATAAATGGACGACGGGTCTAATACAAAAACCACGAAAAAAATGTCCCAAGTCAACCTATTTAAACGTAGTGACATGTCAAGGAATATGAAAAAGCTAAAACGTTGAATTTAAATTGTAATGTCATCGCAGTACTGTCTAATTTTGCTTGCTTCGCTGTCAGTCGAACAAACGAAGACTAGAGCGTCAATGACGCTCTATATACGATTTTAACGCCCTATAAGTTCGGACACTTTTTAGCGCGGACCCGACGTCCGTATAATTGTAAGTCAATGCTGAATAGGCATTGTTTAGGTGTGCCTGCTCCATCGTCGAATTCATCGTCACTTTTTCAAATCAAATGTGTACTTTTTAAAAATGAACTACACACATAATTAAATAGATACTTGTATTTAAAAAATAATCATTTTAAATTTGCCAAAGCAGCAGGGAAAAAATCTCAACGGTCATCTTTTTTCTAGACTAATCCTTGTTCTCTGAGACTTAAAATAAATTAAATTTATGTATATTTTAACCTGTTCTAAACTAATGTTTGAATTGTATAAATTAACTTAGATAATTTCGTGTTAAAACTAACTACTACTACCTACTAACTACTACCTCAAAACTAAGACAAATGTTGAAACCATGTTGGAAAACGCGATCAAATTCGTTTCTGGTTTTACATATACAAACCTAACATACTGAATGGAGGGCACTACCAAAATTTGACTTACACGAAAATAGAGGATCAAATATTATTTTTTCCTATCAAATATTAATTTAGTATGCTTAAACATAATGACAGTGTTACCTTGAATGCATCTCATTTATAATTTATCCCTAGATCTACTAATATAGACGGAACAGTTAATATATTTTAATCATAAAAAAAATATCGTTTATTTAAAAAAGTGCACATTTACAATAGATGGATCAAATAATATTATTCCTTAAATAATTTGCTTTGCAGGGGCGTTCAGTTTCATCACGAGACATTTACCTTCACCGGAAAACTCATGATAAATTTCAAATTAATAATGGAACATAAATTTCGAAAAACTCCTAGACGTAGGCAAGCGTCGGATTCGAACTCACGACTCTCTGCTTTAGTGGTAGATCAAACCACGGTTTATTTTCGTCTATTTTGCATTAAAATAGTTATTTGTTATGCAAGGCTGCAAAGTTGTTGTTTGACGTGGTTCAAAAATAGAATCCTGTGCGTAGCGAGGGTTTCAAGCAACGCACGAGACGCAAAACAACCCCTGCACCCAACACACAACTTTTCACCTCACTATAGCGAGAAAAAAGGTAGACGAAAAAAAAAAGGTGAACTATAACAAAATACTTTAATAAACAAAATTAGTTATCGTTGTCAATTTAACGTCGATAACAATAACGAATAAAATATATGTGATATAAACTAACGGATTTGTATCACATAAATAATGTACGACAAATCGCGTAGTTGAAAGTGTAATTATGTTTTTTGCATCGAAAAAAAAAGTTAGGTGTACCACAGTCCATCGTCAAGTTCGAATTTTAGAAATCTCAGAAACCACGCCAGCGTGTAAAAACGCTTTTGCGCGCAGATTTAGTAATGAGAAAGAAAGCCTTTCCAAGCTAGTGAGGTGAAAACTTATTTGTATCAGTGGCAGTAGAGCTTCTTTAGAAAGAGTTCATGCACGGAAGTACTGCCACCTTTCCAATTTCTGCTGCCAAGCGATAATGTGAGCATTACTGCGTTCCGGTTTTGCAGGGTAAGGGCGCTTGTGCAATTACAAGCTCATGAAACTTATAAACTGTTTCAGGGTGACGACCGTAGCGGCAATTCCCTTCAGATCTTTGCGATTTTAAGCTCTGAGTGGTACTCTAACTGCTATAGAGAGGAGTACCGTTTACAACCTGGTGCACGACCTGTTTGTTAAGTCACTTCGTATCATCATGACCCATGGTATCGATACTTCCAATGAACACTACGCCACTTTAATTTTTAGACCAGCAGCTTGATTTTGATTGCCTCTCCCGATCGGAAACTGCGTCTTTTCCGAGTCGAGGCGCATAATTGTTGATTCACAACGCGCCGATCGGCAACTTTTGACATATCTAATCGGAACAATAATTGATTTAACTCACTAATTAGAAAAATATAGTGGGAATCAGGTTCATCTTCACGCTCAAAAACTTCGATTCGTTGTCTTTTTATTTTGTTTTATTATTTTTTTCAAATTTTGTTTTTTGTTTCTTTATTTTTTTTCATAATTTGGGGAGCATTATATTAGTAAATAAATATGGCTGTTTACAAAAAGAACAGAAAATTACCAAAAAAATAAAGTTCATTGGAGATCGATATCATAAAAAAGGGTACCTCAGGATGCCACCTGACTCCTCAAACTTTAAAATTTGAGGACGCATATATCACAACGACAAAATATTTCTGTCTTTATCTACTTTATGACGTATTGTTCTCAAGAAATAATATGAGTACATTCTTTTAGATCTATTTATTTGGCAATAGAAAAAAGTCACGTACATTTACCAACCTACAAAATTGGGAAATAAATACATAAATACAAGTATAAATAGGTCAGTGTGAGTACGGCATAACATTCTAAGTTCATTCTTTGAAAACAAACAAACCAACATGAATTCCTTCGCTTTCCTATTGCTCTGCGCTCAGGCCTGTCTAATCCAGGTAAAGGTCTTGTTACTAGTTATTTATTTTTATTATACGTTCATTAGTACTTACTGTGTTAATAATCCACTCATTAAATAGGACTAATATTATTATGGATAAGAGTTAAAATACACATGTAGCAGCTCGTCTTGTACAATACATAACATAGAACAATAAATGCAGTAGAAGCATTTAGTAGGCGTGCGTGGCAGGTGTGTTAACAATACACCATTTTCGCTTTGTAAGTTATGGTCGTGTCAATTATCTCGCGCAAAACGATAACCGTGAAAATAATGCCTTACTTTGCTACTTTGGAGCGCATAAGTGATAATTGCAACTGTAATAATATTATGCATTGTGGTTTTTTTTACAATAAAGTGACGGGACGAACACGTCGTGTGCCTGATGGTGGGCTACACGCTTGTCCATAACAGTTGCAGTGCCACTCAGAGCTTTTAATCGCAAAGATCTGAGGGGCACTGCCACTACGCCCGTCACCCTGAGACATAAGTTGACAACTCCCATGTGCCTGTAATTTCACCAGCGCCTTTACTTTAACTGTTTCACTTCAAATCGACCAGTTAACTTGAGATTTGCTATAATGGACAAAAATTGCAAAACCTGTGACAAGCAGTTGGAGGAATAATGGGTCGTTGATGATTCAAATGAATGGTGACATGGTGCTATTGAGCCCATCAGATGGTGCTCTTATAGTCTGTCTTTTTTGAAGATGGAGTAAGATGACAGTTTTTTTTACAATATTAAGTGACGGGAAGTACAAGTCGTTCGCCTGGTGGTAAGTTACACGCCTACCCATAACAGTTACAGTGCCACTCAGAGCTTTAAATCGCAAAGATCTGTGGGGCACTGCCACTGCGCCCGTCCATGAATTGAGAAGTCCCATCTGTCTGTAATTTCACCAGCACCCTTAACCTTCAAAACTGCAACGCAACAATGCTCACATTATTGCTTGGCGGCAGAAATAGGTGAGGTGGCAGTACTTCCCTGGACGAACTCTTTCACACGGAGCTCTACTGCTACTAACAGTCTTTCATAGCATCGTTATAAAGTTTAAATTATATTGATAGGCCAGAATTTGTGACATCTTTTTAAATTACAAACTACAACCGATCATTATCAATATTTCGTAGTGTTTAACATTATGATAGTGTGAATTTTGGCGACAGCTACTTTGATAGCAATTGAGGCTTAATGTTCTTCCATTGTTTTTTCTTCCATGATACGGACGCACACAGTCGCATAAATCTCACGGTGCATTCGCATTGCATAGCGCGGGTTGTCCCACGCGCTAAGCAATGCGATGTTTAAAATATGACATTAAATAGTACCTCAAATTCTAAATCGTTCTGCATTTAATTTCTATTTTATAATCGTACGCGTATAACTGAGATACCAATCCGTGATGCTGGTATAAAAATATCTATAATAAGTAACATGACGTTATTTTTTTGAAATTATGTTTACAACCTGTAGACAGTTAAGACCGTAATATGACAACCCTGCGGTCATTTAGGCATTGAGGTGCCGAACAGGCGGGAGTTGGACTTCTTGTGTTATTTATACTGTGGTTAAATGATACGTTTTAATTTCAGGCGGTGTACAGCGAATGCGATAGTGTTAACGCTCCGGCTAACAAAGCTGCTGCTGCTGCAGCCAATGCCGCTGCTGCAGCCAACGCCGCTGCTGCAGCTAACGCTGCTGCTGCAGCCAACGCCGCCGCCGCGGCTAGAGGTCCTAGCTTTGGTGCTAGATGGGCTGGCCCAGCGGCATACATTCCTGAGGCGTACCATGGCCATGGTGCCGGCAACGTTGCGGTGTCGGGTGATCTGGGCGTGGCTGGCGCCACACTGGTCAAGGGTCAAGTGCCAGTACTCGGCGATGTACATTTCAAGGGACAAGTGCCTGCTGCTGGTGCCGTCACTATCTCCGGATCTTGCGGATGCGGATGCGAATACTGAAAATCAACAAACTAAAAGCATACAATAAATGTTTTTTGAACAGCAACTGAATTTTGTCGATTTTGTTTTCAACTTGCGTTACCAATCTTATTATTCACGTTTTGCTATCTTTGTACGAAGTACCGTATTCTGTGGGACATAATGGAAGTCCTAACTCTCACCCTCGGTATAATAAGGCCACATCTGCAAAATGTTTAAAGAATCTACGAAAAATTTAGTCGAAAAAGATACTCGTGGCTTTTTCTAGATACCTATATTAGTAGAGCTTCTCGTGGAGGAGTTCGTCCAGGGAAGTACAGCCACGTTTTCTATTACTGCCATCAAGCAGTAATGTGAGCATTACTGCGGTCCGGTTTTGAACGGTAAGGGTGCTGGTGAAATTACAGACACATGGGACTTCTCAATTTATGGACGGGCGCAGTGGCAGTGCCCCACAGATCTTTGCGATTTAAAGCTCTGAGTGGCACTGTAACTGTTATGGATAGGCGTGTAGCTTACCGTCAGGCGCACGACTTGTACGTCCCGTCACTTAATGTTATAAAAAAAACTGTCATCTTACTCCATCTTCAAAAAAGACAGACTATAAGAGCACCAACTGATGGGCTCAATAGCACCATGTCACCATTTCGTTTGAATCATCAACGACCCATTATTCCTCCAAATGGTCACAGGTTCATTGCATTGACTTTTTTTGTAAGTTCATACATACAAACCTTGTATTTAGAGTTATGCCTATTAAAAATACAAAGAGGAGACGTATTTTAAAGCTTTTCATTTTAATTTAATATCAAGATAATGAAATCTGTTTGAAACATCCAGACTCGAGACAATATAGAAAAGTTAATTTTTTTCACACTGACCCGGCCGTAGACGGAACTCGGGACCTCAGAGATGGCGACGCCACGAGACCATGTAGGCTGTCAAAATAACTAGTTTTCACACGTGATTGTTTAAATTAATTTATTTATTTACGTAATAATTGTAATCTTTATCATTGAAAAAATGGGTGTGGGTGGGAGTGACAATGGGGCTGTTACGGATGCCTTTGTACATTTACACTTTTTTTTCGGTTTATCATGGTGACAGTGATTTGTTGACTACATGTATTGTGTCAAGTGAAAAGTCAACTTCTGCTTGTGGAAAATAATCAGTAATTTGTGATAGTCGAAACGAACCCGGAACAGCATCGTCGACCACTTCGAGAGTATACCCTTTCTAACAAAAAAGAATTATCAAAATCTGTCCGCAACTGATGGAGAAAACGGTAAGTACACTGACATGCCTATAAAATTAGAGGGTTTTCCTCGATTCCCATGAATCCCTTCATCAGGTTCTAATTTAGTGACAATGGGACTACCACGAAAGTGCAAAATTCTTCTTTTGTTTAAACGGTCAAACAAGATCGGTCCACAATTGACGGAGAAATCGGAAAATCGATCGGAACGGTCTCGGTTAAAAAATGATAATAATTCGGACCCTAGAAATCTACATCCATTTACGCGTCAAAAGTGACACGAAAATAATGAAAACAATACTAAATACATGAAACAAGGTACGTGCAACGATATAACTCTATTTAAGCATAAAAAAGTAGTCGACTAATTTCTTTAGTACAATGGTTAAACCTCTCTCCTGAACAGTTGTCATTTTACAGATGTGACCTTGTTACATCAAGGGTGGGATGTTTCAAATTCTCGCGACACAGGATTTCCCTAGGCGATGAGTGTGTGCGTCATTATATTATTATTATTATTGTATTTATCTCAAACTCTCGCCCCTCCCAAGGCCTAACAGATTAATTTTGAATTTTTAAATGGGAGAGGCGGTATTTCCCGGCAACGGCACAGTCGGCCGGGGTCAGGGACTCAGGTCCAAGAATCGGCGAGCAATACGTGCCGTATCGAGCAGGACCGCCTTCTGCATTTGTGCTGGAAGCGACACGCCACAGAAATCCAACCGCCTCAAGCTGTTAGAAAGGCTGACTGGAATTAACCCTTTTGCGGACAAAACAATTGAGATTATTTCAGTGGAGGCCATTTATTATTATTATTATTATTATTATTATAAACTGCAAACGTTGATAAATGAAAACTTGCCATTGGTTCTAAAAATGATGACCTGTTGATTTTCCGAATTTTAAAATATTAAAAACTACACAATTAAATAGAAAATAAGGAAATCTTAAATACGTAAAACGTGTGGTTAGTGTGATATTATTTGAGTTTATTTTAAACTAGTAAAATCGACTTGTGAACTTATGTCACTAGTACAATGCACTTTTAGAAATTCTAATCACAATATATAAGAAAGGATCAAAAACAGGCCCTTGAGGGACTCTCGCATTTCAAAGGATGAGACTCGCTTTAATGATTATCCACAATGTCGAAAGCTTTATACAGAAATATTTATTTCTTAATTATTTATTAACATTGAACCATTTCAACTGATTTATCAAGAATGTCATCGCAAAATGACACATAATGCAGGTTTCTAAACATCTGGGTTAATGAAAGAAGTCACGTCTTAATCTTTTGGTAATAAATTGTAATTACTAATATTATGTGTTAACACCACACCGTTCAACTGGCATCAGTCCCTATGAGATTCCCAATTAGAGAGTCCCAATTAGAACCAACTTACACGTGTTATTTGCGAAACCAACAACGACCACATCTCTACCTCTGACACGTAATTTGTCACGTCTGTTACGGACTTCCCGGGAGAGCCAGATAGTTCAGGCTCGGAACTACGTGCACACTGGTCCTAAATGGGTGTTTGCAATAGTAAGACAAAAGTTATGCCAACTACATTACGAGCTCCAAACTGACACCGGAGAAGTCTGAAAGAAGCACATAGACCAGCTGCTGGCGACCAGAGTTCCTGACCTCCAGAAGACCTGATATATATACATAGCTGGATAAAATTCTACATTTTGTTTATGTCACCGCCTTCACCTAACGCACACACTCAACCTGACCTGTCACTGTCAATAAAATATTTGTACATCAGAATATGTGTATTTAAATATAACGAATATCAAAAAACAACAAGTTGTATTTCCAATTGTATAATTTTCATAACAAATGTCCAAGACAACATTTATATAAGGAATAACAATAAATTGGAGTGAAGTCATTGTCAATTTCGAGCAGGCGCGGGCGTGGTCTTGGCTGCATGAAGTTGATGACGACTTCTCGCATTAACTGCAGCCATCCTGTCAATCTATTAGCAGCCTTAAAGTTTCCTACTATTGTTCTCAGGTAGATCAGTCTTACTTATTAGCAGTATTATTCGTAAATCATTTTGACGACTTTGAGAGTAATTTGCTTATCTATGAAATAAAAATATATTTGAACTTGAGACTTGTTTCCTCTTTAGTATCGTCAAATTTACCTATGTTTATATATATATTTATGTAACACTAAATATACATATAATAAGAAATACCGTAATTTTCGTATCCTATGTGACACAATGACTTAATAATCAAATGAATGTATATCGCAAAACATTTAAATCTTCATTACACTCGAAACTGTAAACATTTCGAAGTTACGTACATACGTAACTTCGAAAATTATTACACTTTTCCTGCACACATAACTTCTTCTAACGTTCTTCTGATAACATACAATTGATTACTGAATTGGTTTGTCAAATGCAAAAACCATCCCGATCCTACCTTATCAAACGCTTTTGACAAAATCTTTTAATTTCTACTAAGCACCGATTTTAGTTCTAATAAATAGGTATGGTAAAGAAATACAATTGAACTCTTACATACATAAAGTCTATAAATTAAACAAAAAGATACTTAAAGAGTAAAGGGTAAAGCTACAATTCAAAGTCTTAAAAATGCATGTCGGTTGTTTTATTCATTTGTTAAATTTGCAAGACAAAATCAATATCCGCATCCGCAACCGCAAGATCCGGAGATGGTGACAGCACCAGCAGCGGGCACTTGTCCCTTGAAATGTACGTCGCCGAGTACTGGTACCTGGCCCGAGATCAGCGTAGCGCCAGCCACGCCCAGATCTCCCGACACCGCCACGTTACCAGCACCGTGGCCATGGTACGCCTCAGGAGCGAATGCTACTGGGCCGGCCCATCTAGCGTCCCAATCAGCACCTCTGAACGCAGCAGCATTGGCTGCAGCAGCAGCGTTGGCTGAAGCAGCAGCAGCAGCGGCAGCAGCCGCAGCGTCGGCTGCGAAAACTTTGTCATAACCACACTCCTTGTACACCGCCTAAAATTGAAATAAAAAAGATATTCTGTATATTCAGAGATAAGACCAAATTTTATTACAGACCAAAACATGCAGAAAAATGCATGCACAGGTACAATCCTTTTCATTTATACCATAAAATAGCAGTAATCTGGACTACAGAGTAGGAAGTGCTAATGCATCATAGACATAGAACACAAGAAATGGAATGATATTTTTCTGGATCTATGTCGCATAAATTTGTTTTTCCAAATAAAACAACGTTTCGGGCAATGTGCAGGTACCATAGTCGCGGCTGACTGAAATGGTGTAAGGCATTGCAATTCAGATCTAGAAAAGTGTTATGCTCCGCGACATTGACGACAACAGAGAAATAAAAAAACAACTCTTACCTGGATAAGGCACGCCTGGGCGCAGAGCAACAAGAAAGCGAAAGAGTTCATTTTTTTGATTTTATTCGATGAATTACTGAATAATGAATGATGTCGAATAGTTTTAGTGAGCCTTTTATATGTTGCATTCTCAGTGTTACGAAATTCCGTTAATTCAATAGTACATACGTGTATTATTGATGTTCTATTAATTTTTGCTATTTTCTTATCATTGTTAGCGCTATCTATTTTACAAAATATAAAAGTTAAACAAAGCATTTTATTTGTCAATCAATTAATCACGTATATTATTACCACTTGGGTAATTATATTGTGTTATGTCACTGGTTTGTATAAAAGCTTTACCTGTAGTATAGGTCATCATTCTCGAGTCAGTCCTCGCAGAAATTACAATGTCGTCCGTATCCACGATTGTTTTGTGCGCTTCTGCGCTTTTCGTCCAGGTACGTTCATTGCATTATTATTTACGCATTGGAATATTTCACACGTCTTTTTTTTGTTTTATATTCGTATGTATCAGCTAGGATGGCATCAGCCGTCATCTAACATGATATTGTGCTGTCCGCAGACCATCTCTGCTGAGTGCCTACGCGCCCCTGCTTGGGATGCGTGGAAGCCAGCGCCGGCCCCTATCGCCTGGACCCCCAGCTGCGGCGCGGCCTACTACGACAACATCATCGGATCTAACTTGGCATCTGCTAGCGGCGGCGGCCTCGGTGTGATCTCCTCCTCCCTCTACGCACCAAATGGTCTTTCCGTACTGTCTGAAAATGACATTTCGGGCATGCTTGATGCATCTGGCAACCTGCCCGTGCTGGCCGCCGTTGCTCTGGAGGGCTCTCTACCGACCAGCGGTTCGGCTGGAACCACCTACAGCTGCGGAAATGAACTTGTGGGCATCGACAGCGAAAGCCTTGCCGTTGCTGGCATTGACGCTACGGGCTACCGCACCAACTATGGCTCTGCTTTCGCCGCCAATGCTGCCGCCGCTGCTGCAGCCAACGCTGCTGCCGCTGGTGCCTTCGGTCACCATGCCTACGCTTCTCCCGCCGTCATACGTGCTCCCGGCAAATGCTACTGAAAAGATATTATGATCTACGTCATCTGAAATCCGAAATAAATAAATTTTTAATAATCGCAATATACTTTGTTGTTTTAATCAAGAATAATCATGTATTGCTGGGCAAAGGCTTTCTCGTCCTTAGAGGGTACAGTGGTACACTACAGGCTTTAAAAAAACATCATGTATTACATACAAAATGTCAAATTACTAATGCCTTATTGGTACGTCAATGAGCTTCCGCCTCCAGTGCTTTAGACGCCGCCTATTATCACCGGCTGGCTGTGGCAGTATCTTTGGACGAGAGTCGCCAAGGAGAGTGTCACACTTCCCGTAAATGTTTGATTGTTTACAGTTACGTAAATGGTCATGTCAGCGATTGCAAATTGTTTGCCCGGTTTGATTCAAAGCTTTTTATAAAAAACACGAAACTTTATAATTATATCGCCATTCACGAAGTTCACGAGGCCATTTTATTGTTAGTCAGGGGAGCGATAAATTGCCCAAAGTGTGAACATCCCGCTGTCTGTTGTTTATAATCGAATACGTTAAAAAACGTGCAGGGCAATGCCGTATGACAACGTTAAGTTATTGTCACTGTTAGTATAACTTGTACAGTATGAATAAATCAATAAATGCTTTAATAAACAAATAAGATAGCACTGACAGGACCGAACTTCCTGCTGCGTCCAGCCACACTGGCGACGTTGCTGTACCTGTCGCGACTGCATTGCTCCACGAAATCTGAGGAGATACTGGAGTACATCAGACATAAAGTCAAATACACCCTGAGTGTCGAGCGGTTGGAGTCTCGCCACAACGTGATTTCAATTCGTTTGTGGTGAGAGTACCGACCGAACATCTGTCGACCTTCATGAAGAAAGAGTTTTGGCCGAAGGGTGTCATGTATCGGCGATTCCGCGGCCGGTTACCTGACACCAGATGGCGACACACGTCGCCGACAAGTACGTAAAGTAAGTAAGTAAGTAAATTAGTTAGGAATAGTGTTTTATTATATTGTATGTATGTTAGTCCTTAAGGTATATATTACATGGGTCATGTGGCCTGAACTAAATAAAAGGCTTTCTAAGGGTGCACCATGTATCATTCCCTTCTACCGTACCTTGTCCTTTCACCACCAAACATTACAATGTATACCTTCAATACGATAAGAAGAAAACGGCTTTCTAAATTTGTAAAAAAATCTCCATACATTCCCCAGGCTTTTGGTCAATTTCACACATTCAAAGATATTTTGCAATGCTTGTAAATAATAAATTAAAATCGTGAAACAAAAGTTAGTTATTTTAAGAGACCACAAAAAGCGTTTTAAGTTATTGCGTCAGCTATTAAAGACAGCTTGGATAATATGCTTGAAATTAATCGATGATATTGCAATATTAAACTTTAAACGTTAAAACATTGCTCCTTAAAATTATATACCTAATTACCGAGTGACCAGTACATTTTGTAAGGTAGGATCGTATGTTCACTGCCGGACCGCTTTTTTGGACTTTCACGAGAACGATTCAGATACGAATTTAAAGACAGGAATTTTTAGCAAGTCACTGATGTTGTGAAGGTAACTTCATTCATTATTTTCATTATCTAAATAAAATGAAAGAATATAGTGCGATGACTAAAAGTTTATTTCTTTTTTATTTTGTGATCACTCTAATTATATCTTTTCAATAACACCCACAGGGAGCAGCTTTGAAAGAGGGAGCAGAATAGACACGGGGGCTTTTTGGGCCAAAAGCAGAGCCATAACCGGCGCTGTAGCCCGTAGCCTCGATACCAGCAGCAGCAATGCTGTCGCTATCGATGCCCACCAGTTC